AGGATAGTTTCAAATGGAGTTGGAGTCCCATCATTTGTTTCAAGACTTGCCTCTTTTTTGCCAAAAATCTGGAGACTGCCATATAATTTCCTTCAGTATTTTCAAAAACTGAATAAGAAGGCATTGACCTGAAAAAATACTTTATGTTTTTAGGTAAAACCAATTTTTAAATTATGGAAATACAGTCAGGTCTTGAGATATAGTGCAGGCAGCACAAAAGTCTGAGACAAAAATCGTACAACGCAGCAGCCTGCTGGTGTGGGCCATCTTGAGATAACCATTTCCTTCCAAGGTCAAGAGAGTCACCAAATGAGGGTGGAGCAAGGCTAAGTACAGCCCCAAACCCAGCAATGCCCAACTGATCATTGAGGCCTCCAGAAACTGTTACTTTATAGAAGAGATACTGATTTTTCTTTCATGAGTTCTCTGACTGTGCAGCTTTTGCCTCAGAGGTTTGCTTTGAACGTTCACTGCCAGGCAGGAGGGAAGCCTGCCCAACAATGCAGACACCAGAGAAAAACAGTCGATTTCTGATCCATCCAGGCCCTCGCTTCTCTCCTCTCCCTCCAGCACCCTCCCCACCTGCTGGAAATTTCATGGCTTGTCAAAAGCTCCATCGAAGTAAGCAAAGGGAAGACAAAACTTAATTATCTACTCCTTTTGTCTATCTTTGCTTTTTAATATTCTTTAATAGTCTCAATAAAACCCTGATGGTTAAACTTATAATCCAAGTTGAGTTTGTTTTTCTCTCCTTCCATTTTTACTAGAAAGGGATAAGCACCTTTGCCTACCACCCCCCCTGCCCCCACACAAACCAGAAGTGTTGAAAACAAAATAGGAAATTTGTTTAGTCACTAGTAAAGCTTAAGAGAAATCGAGTGACTAAGAGAAGTGAAAAGACTGCCAGCCTTCCTATGAATATCTAGTGCACTGGTTTTAGGGGCAGTGTGGTAGAGCATGAAGAATATGAGTGATGGAGTCAGTAGATCTGGGTTTGAATCCCCATTATGTCACTTATCACCTGTATACTTAGGTTCCCTCCCCTGTAAAACGAGGCTCATAATACATACTCTTGCAAGGCAGTCAGGAAAATCACAATGAAAAACATGTATAAAGTGCCTAGCACAGAACCCAGCACAATGGTGGCATTCTAGAAGGACCAGTTGCCCTGCCCGTCTTATTACCTGGCTTATCAGGGCTAACATGTCAGCTTGAGATGTGTATACAGTATCTAGATTCCTAAGCTTGTCAAAAAGATTCTCCCTATCCCTACTGATCTTAGCCTCCATCAAAACCCATAAATATGATTAAAAGTGATGGCCATTCCACTAGACTTTCATAGAACTCAGTGACAAAACAACAGTAAGAATACATGACTTCGGTAGCTTGATGCAGGATACTGCCAAAGGGAAGGGAGGCTAAAATCAAAGAGGCGGCAGGAGAGTCAAAGCATCCGTTCAACACAAGAATTTATATAAGAGAAGCCTTCCAAATTCTGATCTAATATAAACCCAGAATTAATAATTATACTCACTTTTTTTCCTTCCTCTAGAAAACAAATGATGATGCGATTGAATTTGATTATACTGTTCTACTCCATGAATTCTCAACACAGGTAAAACACAAACTTATGTATAGAATTGTTCTTGCCAGAAGTTTTTGCAGATGATAGTATTTTTGAACTCTTATTTCTAGGAACTCATTCCCTGTCGCATTCGCTTGGTCTGGTACCCTAGCAAAGCACTTAAAGTGAAGTACCACTGTCAAGAGCGACAGACGCCAGAAGAAGCCTCTGGAACTGAAGAAGGATCGGCTGTGGCACCGACAGAGCTTAGTAATTTCTGAAAAGAAGATATGCTTATTCCAAATTCTAAACAAAATGACAGTACTAAGTAGCCTAAATCATTATTCTATTACGTAATTAAGGTATAAGGCCTTCTAATAATTAGGGAAAGCCTGTGATACTCAAAAGTTAAAAGATGTTGGGGCTTTTTTAAAGATAATATATTTCAACGAAAGCAAATTATAGGAATATTATATGTTTAAAAGGAATTTTACTATATTTTATGATTTCAAGCAAGTATTCTTTTTTAACTTGATAGCTACTTTTAACTAAATGTTTATACATTTCTAAATAAAATGTGTTAAATGTGCTTCTAGATTTGTCTATGTAGATAAAATCTGTACTAACCTGCAATTCAACAAACTCCTAATATTGCTTAATTCATATTTTAAAAATAAAAATATAGTGTCTCACAGATAAAGCCGAATGTCTGCAAACATGTATTAAATGGAACAGTGAAATAACTGAAAATTAGTATATCAAGTATTTTCAATTTTCACTTATAAGGACAATGTGGACCTAGTGTTGGCCTAAGTAATTTATAAAAGCAAACACAATATGTTCTAAAATCAGATTCAGTGGAGTACATTCCTAAAGTAGGAAGAATTGATCCTGGAAATGTGGCCATCATTTGCTTCTCAAAATTAGTATCATTTAATGGAATACTTATCTCTGTGTCTAAAAACCTTTAGCCAAGTTCCTTGGCCATAAGTAATTGGTTAGCAAGTATTAGCCTTAAAATATACCAAAAAAAAAAAAAACCACAAAAAAAACAAATGCTTTTGAGTCTGCACTATTAGAAAATTGGAAAAGTTTACACTGAAGAGGAAAATTTTAAAGATGTGCATTTTTACAAAATAAAAATAAGATGGATGATATTGTTACTTTTCAGTAGATCCATTTTATATATTTTTCTTTTTAAAACTGCAACCCTTTGCATTAATTTCTCCAACATCCACTTGATTTAAAAACTGTAAAAAGCATTCTGAAGCACTGGAAACAATTATTTAAAGAAAACGTCAGATCTCCCAGCTCTGTGATAATGCAGAGAAAATGCTTTTTCTAAAATATCAATCTATAATGATTAAATCATGCCAAAACCAAATGATAAACTCCTCTAACTGAAGTTCTCTAAATAATCTTCAAAAAAGGCGCCAAGAGCATTATAATAGCATATTCAATGTCCTGTGATCTTTAATCACTTTTTTAGTGTCACATTAAGGCCTAGAAATGGGGTTTTAGTTTTCCAGAGTCTCAGTTCATCCTCATAAAAGCATTTTTAATTAGTAAGATTAGACTTACAAATAAGACTCTAAGGTAACCCTTTAACAGATTTATTTCAGTATAATAGATTATGAAGGGGAATTCTACACATACAAACAACATACAAACAAACAATTACCTAATTTATAAATTTACAAAACCCACAAAAGTCAAACCAACTAAAAATTTCTCAATACTATCACCACTAGAACATCTTTTCTGGCACAAACTGCTGATTTGAGTTTTACTACTACTGATTTTGCTAGCTAACAACAGAGAAAAATTACTTCATCTATCTTGATATAAAATGAGAAACTCTAAATTCCCTAAACTCTCTTTTCATAATGAGCCTAAATTCTTCTCTATCGCTCTGAACTAATGACATACACAGCATCACATTCATATTTTTAGTCTCTTTAGAGCTTTCAGGATTTTAAGACATACAAAATAGTATCAGGATTTTGTCTACATTCCACTTGATCCTACTGTTTCATTTTTCCTACTTAAATTATAAATTGTTACAAGTTTAACAATTTGTTTTTGAAAGTCAGTTGGAAGTTTCTATATTTGCCCTTGAATGTTAGTTCTTCATCACATATGTTTATTACACCATTTTTTCTCAGCTTAGAACCTGTTCTGTGACCTTTCCTAGCTTTCGAAGTGCTACGATCACCTAACATGCTGCCTGGCACTTATTTGAATGGATAAATGAATGGATGAAGACAATAAATTGTTTTGAAACAATTAACTATTCAATGATACATTCCAGAGTTATTTATTTGAAGATACTTTAAGCAGTAATTAGAGTTCTAATTGAATAATTTATAGTTTTAGTAATGCAAATAGTTGTTTTCTACAAAGGGATGTATTCCTACATGTCACAATTCACTACTACCTGGTTACTGCCTAGTGTTATTGGCAATAACACTCATCCATATTTCAAAAATATTAAAATATGAAAAATCCTTAAACTTCATAATTAAATTTTAGTGATTTTTATAATTAATCTGAGAGTGAGCAAGGACAGGAATAAGAAAAAATTGACTGTGTGTCTTCAAAGGTAAAGTTATCAAACTTAGAACCACTAGCCCAAACTCTTAACACTACACAAAATAATAAGACTTCCAGTCAGGATGGCGCAGAAAGCAGACGCTGTGCTTGCCTCCTCTTGCAACCACATCAAAATTAAAACAAAATTACAGAACAACCATCATTGGGAGTCACCCAAGGTCTGGCTGAACAGAAGTTCTACAACTGGGGACACATATGAGGCCACCTTGAGACTGGTAGGAGGGATAGAGATGCAGAACAGGATGGTCTCAAACTGTGGTGTTTGAGAATCAGGAGGGTTATCTTGGCTACAGAGGTCCCCCCAGAGGGGCAAAGGGTCCTGGCTCCACACTGGACTACCCAGCCCAGTGTTCGTGCCAAGAAGAGAAGGGTCCACAACTTCTGACTGTGAAAACCAGCAGAGATTGTGGTCGAGTGAGACAGAAGGCTGCGGGAGTCACAGACATTCTTCTTAAAGGGCCCATGCAGACTTACTCAGTGACAGACTCACTCACCGTGAGCTCCAGTGCCGGGGGAGCTGCTCGAAGAATTCCAGGGACACAGAAGAGGAACTGAATTGTCTGGTTTTAGGCGAGAGCTAGAGAGGCAGCTTTCTCCAAGACAGAAATGCTGGAAGAATCCATTGTTCCTTTGCTGAGCCTTCCGTCTCCCAGTGTGCGCAGGCAACCGCCACATCTGAGTCTCCATCAACCTAGTTAACACCGGTCGCCCTGCCCAGGTGATTCCGAGATCCCGCCCCCTGAACTTGCAGGTCCAGCCAAGCCGCTTTGAGGGGGGTTTTCCATACAAATGGCTTCTCTTAGCTCATACTGCAGACTTTCCTAAAATTTCTCAAAAGTTCACATAACTCAAAAAACAATATCTGGCCTCGGTGTGCCTGTACCTCTTGCTGAGCAGCCTCAAACCCTGTAGTGGCAGCTTGCCTTGGTTCCTGGCTTGGCCTCTAGAGGCGCCTCAAGCCCAGCACAGGTGGAGGCCATCTGCAGATTGCTTTGTGGCTCATGCCAGGTGTTCCCAAACAGTGCATAGGCTGTGGCTGAACCTGGCCTGCAGTTGGGCCCCTCCCAAAAGGCCCTTAAGCTGGCATGCCCAGTGGCCTGCTTCCGCCAGAGCCAGAGCACCACCAAGAGCTGCAACTGAGGACACACTGAAGGGCAGACAGAGCAGGCACTAGAGCCCTGCTAGTGAATCTTGCTCCACAGGGTTAGCTCCTCACGGGCCAATCCTCACAACCAATCAGCCCAAGTGTCAATGCCTCCCATTGACATGAAAACAGCAACCAAGGCCCAGCTACCACAGGAGGGCACACACAACCCATATAAGGGACATACCTTGAGCAGAGCAGGCTAGAGCCCTGCTAGTGAATCTTGCTCCATAGGGTTAGCTCCTCACGCGCCAATCCTCACAACCAATCAGCCCAAGTGTCAATGCCTCCCATTGACATGAAAACAGCAACCAAGGCCCAGCTACCACAGGAGAGCACACACAACCCATATAAGGGACATACCTTGAGCACCTGGCTCAGGTGACCAGGAAAGACTGCATCACTGGGCCCCACAGGATACCTACTACAGAAAGCCACTCTACTAAGACTGGGAGACTTAGGAGCCCTACCTAATACATAGAAACAAATATGAGAAGGCAGCCAACATGGGGAGACAAAGAAACGTGTCCCACATGAAAGAGAACAAAGCTCCAGAAAAAGAACCAGTCAGAAATGAAGAATACATTAGAGGTAATCAACAGATTAGATGAAGCAAAGGATCAAATCAGCAATTTAGAAGGTAGCAGAAAACACCCAGTAGGAACAGCAAACAGAAAAAAGAACCCTCCCAAAATGAGGCTAGTTTAAGGGGCCTCTGGGACAACATCAAGTATAATGACATTCACATCATAGGGATAACGGGAGTTGAAGAGAGTAAGGAATTGAAAACCTATTTGAAGAAATAATGATAGAAAATTTCTCTAATCTGGTGAAGGCAATAGCCATACAAGCCCAGGAAGCTCAGAGTCCTAAACAAGATGAACCCAAACAGGTCCACACCAAGACACATCATAATTAAAATGCCAAAGGTTAAAGAAAAAGAATCTTAAAAACAGCAAGAGAAAAGCAGTTACCCATAAGGGAGCTCTCATAAAACTGTCAGATGATTTTTCAACAGAAACTTTGCAGGTCAGAAGGGGTTGGCACAAAATATTCAAAGTGATGAAAAGCAAAGACCTACAACCAATATTTTACCCAGCAAAGCTACCAATTAGAATTGAAGGACAGATAAAGAGCTTCCTAGACGAGAAAAAGCTAAAGGAGTTCACCACCACCAAGCTAGTATTACAGGAAATGTTAGAGGGACTTAAGAAAAAAATATGTATCAAAAATATGCATAATAAAATGGCAATAACTACATATCTATCAATAATTATTTCAAATGAAAGAGAATTAAATGCTCCATTCAAAAGATAGGGGTGGCTGAATGGATAAGAAAACAAGCCCCTTATGTATGCTGCCTACAAGAGACTCGCTTCAGATCAAAAGAGACACACAGATTGAAAGGGAAGAAAAAAGACATTTCATGAAAAGGGTAAAAAAAATCTGAGGTAGCAGTACTTATACCAGATAAAATAGACTTGAAAGCAAAGACTATAACAAGAGACAAAGAAGGACCCAGAAATTCCACTTCTGGGTATTTATCTGAAGAAACCCAAAATACTACTTTGAAGGGACATATGCATCCATATGTTCATTGCAGCATTATTTACAATAGCCAAGATATGGAGGCAACCTGGGTGTCTATCAAAGGATGAATGGATAAAGAGGTGATACACATATACAATGGAATATTACTCAACCATAAAAATAAAAGAATGAAATCTTGCCATTTGCAGTAACATAAATGGACCTAGAGAGTATTGTGCTAAGTGGAATAAGTCAGAGAAAAACAAATGCTATATGATTTCATTTACACGTGGAATCTAAGGAATGAAATAAATAAAATAGAAACAAACTCTTACCAAGAACATTTTGAGGATTGCCAGATGGGAGGGGTTTTGGGGGAGTGAGTGAAAAAGAGGAAAGGATTAAGAAGTACAAATTAGTTATAAAATAGTCATGGGGATGTAAAGTATAGCATAAGGAATATAGTCAATAATATTGTAATAACTACATGCAGTATCGGATGGGTATTATATTTATCGGGGTAATCACTTTGTAAGTTATAAGAATCTCTAATCACTGTTGTATACCTGAAACTAATACTGTATGCCAACTATAATTAAAAACATATTTAAAAATATTAATAAGACATATCTGAATAAATCTTCCCTTTCATGTCTTAGGGGTAAGGGCAGTACCACTGTGGTCTTCAACCTTACCTGTGTATTATAATCATGTGGAAAGCTTCTGATCTTGAGCCAGAGATAAAGAATATCTAGGGGTTGGCCTATGTGTTTCTTTTTAAAGCTTCCCAGGTGGTTTTTAAAGCACCGCCCAGAAGCAGGGTTGGGCCTGGTTAGTACTTGGATGGGGAGCCACCTAAGAAGACCAAGTGCTATAGGCGTAAAAAATAAAAAAAAATAAAAAAAAATAAAAAAATAAGGGGACTGTAAGCTGACAAGGTCCTTGCAATTTGTGAGGTCAACCAAGGGTTGCCTCGCCTAAAAATTAAAAAATAAAAAATAAAAAATAAAGTGCCACCCGGGATGGGAATCAGGGCAACACTGCCCAGGGCTGCTACCACTCCAACACAAGCAAGACTGTCTTTCCTTATATTGGCCGACAATTATCCTTCACAACAGTAGCATAAAAATATCCTCGTTTATGGATATTCTCTATAATTTCTTTCTTGCTAGACTTTGGTTGGCATGTGGTCTTTACGAACTGTAGCCAAACTAAGTTAGCAAGAGGTGTGAATTCTGGTCCTGGATCTGTCCTACGTGATCCTACTCTACTTACTCCAACCAACTGGGCCTGTGTCGTTGCCTATGAAATCTTGGTGTTGGACTGGATACCAAAGCTCTTTCCTGACACTATTATCTTTATAACCAGAATGTATAACAAGTTAAAAACATCAAAATTTATCCATCTTAGTACTAATATCTTTGACTGCTGGCCAAAGCCATAGGAACCGTACTAAGGTCTACGAAAGTATTTCCTTATCAGGAGCAATATTCTACATCATCATAAATAGCATGAAATACTGATGAAATGCCAAAGCAACAACATTTTTCAGACTTGATGCCATTGTAGCAACAGACATTTTCATGGGGAAATGTACTTGGGATGATAAATGATAATAACTAAATTATTGACTGAAAATTGAGCAAGCTGTGTGATCTTAGACAAGTCATTTACCTTCTCTGCACTTTTGTCACCTCTATGACAAAATGAACATAATAGTACCTACTTTCATAGGGTAGTGAAACTAAATTAGATAATGCATTTAAAGCGCTTAGCAAGTCCCTTGAAAATGTGCTCAATACTTTCAAAAATCTTTTTTTTCTAGAAGCCTTAAGATATAATGCCAAATCTATAAATCAAGAAAAACAAAGGAATTTTAAAATTATTTTATTTCTATCATTCATTATGGGAAAGAATTATAATGTCTATCACATCACATGACTTTTGGATGAAGGAATTTTGAATATGGTAGAACTGCAGAGGAAGTCCAACTATTCCAACTTATTCTAAAAACAAAGCTTAACATTTACACTTTCACAATTTCCATGAATCCAATATATGATAAATTACAACAGACTCAAATTCAACCAGCATTTAGTAGGTGAATGAAACTGACTAGGCAGGAACCTTGAAAGTTATATTTTATTATTTAGAGCTGCAGAAATATTAAGATGAACACAGACAATAGTATATGCAAGAATCTGTTTTTCAACTCATAGGTCCACCAGAAAGTAACATTTACAATCCTAAAAACAGGTAGCTACAAATTCACACAGAACTCACAAATTGAAGCAATCAGCTCTATGTAAAACAGCTAGAAATTTAGCTGGCATTTTAATATCCTAATGAAGAACCTGAAAAATGTTCTCCATTAAGATCATATGAAATCCTTTCTTAAACAAAAAAGCCTTCTTATTAAACGATGACACTACAAGAAGTGTCATGATATGTGCAATTCACTTTCAAGTGTTTAGCCAAAACAATTTTTTAAAAAAAATATAAAAGTATGAGACACACAGATGAACAACAGATAAAGCAAACATGTCAAATACTGTCTGATTAACAAATTGTTAACAATGAACAATTGTTCATTGTGGAGTCTAGATGGAAGGTATATGGCTGTTCTTTGTATTGTCTTGGCTTTTCTATGTTAAAAATTCTTATGATAAAAAAACTGGAAAGGAAGTTTACAAACATTCTAAGCTTAGACATATAACTGATATAGGTCTCTTACCCCCTTAAAATAAATATTAAATATATTTCAGTAATAATCATATTTTATTTGAGGTTTTTCAATGAACTACAAAGCCAGTCAATAGAGTTGAGATATACATAGAATTAACTTTGATATATTAGAAGCTTCTGAACATAATAGAAAGGGCTTCTAACATTTTTTATTTCTGCCTAAATTCATTCCACTGGAATCCATTAAAGTATCTAAACCTTGCAGATACAGTTAAAGTTAGTCAACTTAAAATTAGGAAAGTCAGTTCTTGGCTTTTCCTTTTTTTACAGGAAGTTGACCTGTAGCTTCCAAATACTTATTAACGAGGTCCTCTTGTGTAGACGGTGAACATGGCTGATACCTGCAGTATTCCATTGTGTATTCGCCCTTCCCCTGGGAGTTAAAAAAAAAAAGTAGCTTTAAAAAAATAGCTATCAAGCAAAGTCATACAAAGACAAAATTCACAAATTTGATCATTTTATAGGGTAGTCTCTTCAAGAGCACTAAAGTAAAATTTAAATACTTGCTTACCTCTGTGCATGACCTAAGTTCAGTGGAATAACCAAACATATCATTTAGAGGAACCTGGAAACAAATAATAGATATCTTAGCATTGCTTATTGAAGAATATTTGAGAAAAATACAGAGAAGCCTTAGTCATTTAATTCCTTTAGACTTAGGCTTCTAACAACTCTTGGTTTAAAAGGATTAAAAGGCAAAGAGAAACATATTTTTGTTTTATTGTAAGTAGAAATCCTATTTGAAAATAATTTCATCTGACAGTCACAACTAGAAACCAGATCTTTCAGTTTCACAGAGTGGACATGACTGACACCCTTGCCTCCTCATCCCCACTCCACCCTCTGGCTCAAGGTCAAGCCTTCAGGGGTGTTTATTCTGTGAAAATGTTAATATAACTTTCCTTTGGACACCTCAATGATAATGCTGATAGCAATGTCTTCTAGGAAGCCTTACAGAATGAGATAAACCTTCTCCCATGAGTTTTAAGTCAAGTAAGGTACAGAAAAGGGAATAAAATATTAACCCAATAAATTAGAGATAACATAATAAAGCAGCTATGTAAATAAAGCTATAATGAGAAAGATAAGTATACATTTAAGAAAATGACATATTCACAAAAGGCCTACATGAAATGAATCTAATTTTCAGCTTTTGCATTTAAGAGTTAGTTGCTCTAACAGCAAATTATAGAAATTGCCACATATATATAATTCAACACTCAAACAGCCAGAGAAATGTGTCAATTTGCTCTACAACCTCCCAAAACAAAAGCTAACTCTAATTCCCTCCTGCGGTTAATAAAAGCAAGACTGTCAGTGACCAACAGTACTTACATCTGCATACAGTGTAAAATAGTCCTCGACTCCATCCTGTCCCGTGATTACCCCATGGCGCCGGTTAATCCCTGCAATCACTGCTCCCTGAAATTCATTTGGGGCTATAACTTCCACAGACATAACAGGTTCAAGAATACATAATGTTGTATTTGCCAAGGCTGGATTTAAAAAAATTAATAAATAAAATTAGTTTATTAGTCTTTAAACAAACTGGAACTCTTTTCTATCCAGATATACGAAAGGGAGAGACACAGGGTGCTCTGGACTCACTTTTCAGGTAGCAGTAACAGTCACTCTTCTAAATGGAAAGTCCAATAAGACAAAACCTAGTTTTAGTATTAGTAGTTCCATTACCATATTTTTATCTTTAAAAATCATTAAGCTGCAGAGGATAATATAAAAGGGGTCTTAAAACCACATTCAATCAAGTCCTTTATCATCTACGTTATGCAGTTGAGACCTACTTATTCTCTCTTTCTGAAAATCTTCAGGAGTAAAGACACTGTTAAGTCTTTGGTCAATGAAAACCAATTCTCTCTTGTTGGTCCCTGGCAGACAGTTATCTTTAACTATATGAAAAACAATTTTTATCACTGGCGAAAGTGGGGAGGAGGGTACCTACCCTTCATATACTTGGAGACAATAATCAAGTCATGTCTGAGATCTATCTTTCCTTTTCTAGGCTGAAAATTTCAGTATCTGATTGAGAATTAGAAAGACCAAGTTTCTAGTTTCTGTATTGCCCCTAATAATCGTATGCCTTTTGGAAAAACACAATCTGTCCAGGTCTCAAGTTTCTTCACCTAAAAAGTAAAGATACTGAACTAGATGTGATGGGCCATTTAAAGCACTGAAACCCAACATGTATGTCCATGTTTATTTTTTTTATCTCACTTAATACTTCTTTCTGTGAAAAATGCTGACTGAGGTTTAAATGCAACAATGTGGAGAGAATATAATAAAATTTCAAACATTTATACTTAAATTGGATGTTATGATAGTATGGAATAACACTTCAGCCTCAGACTGGAAGAATTACCTTTATATAAACATTTTAAGAAAAACACAGAAAAGATGACATAGAAAATATTTGTTATAAAATAACCATAATTTCCCAAGCATTAATTTAAAATAGGCTAATTAGCAATTATTCTTATATAGTCATTCATAGTGTGTTCTATGAAAGACACTATTAGCCTAAGTACAATAATTATAATGGCAATTTAATATCCTTGCATTTCTTTAAAATATTTTCTAACTCAAATCATATCCTGAGACCTACCTCTGACTAGTTCGTCCTAATTAGTGAATTCTGTTCTCAAAAGAGGAATAACTGAACTTTGCAGACTCCTAAACCTCATTAGCTAAGCCCTGCAGACCCTACATAGACTTGTAAAGCAGCAGACTAACAATTCTAGACTGTAGAAATAACTCTATTTCTTGTTAGAAAAGCAGTTTCCTTGGCTCTAAAGAAATGCATTTAATGATGAAGAAGGCACCCAGAAAGAGGAGAGCAGGGCAGACATATTAAGATTCAGTTAAATGTTATCTAGTGTTTTCAAGGTCAGTAATATGAAAAGAGCTAGATTGTGAAAGGGTCATATTTTAAAGGGGGTAAGGGGCCAAGTATACAGTCTCTACCACTTAGTTGCTGAGAATGGCCTGTGCAGTTGTTCTATATCCCCTCTCCCTGCTCCTTTCTTCCTAAATCCACCTCCCAACTTATTTCCAAAGAACCTGCCTTTATTCATGCCTTCCTCTAACCGCATTCCAGCTGATAAGACTCCAGAGCTAACTTACCCTGCATTTTTCAATAGTCAGATGACAACCAAGTCCTAAAAACAGTTTTTCCTCAAGCAGATCCATGTGGTCTATAGCTTTTTAAGGTAGGAAATAAAAACACCAATATCATCACAGGACCTTTTAAGCCTAAAGCGGTGGGTAGAGGTGGTAATGTTTCTGGTTCATCCGCTAAGGAATAACACCACCTCGGTGCTGAAGAGTCTGTGTGAGGAGATGTTCGGAGCTAGGGCTCTGGCCTGGGGTTTAACTGTCAGCTCCACCACTAACTAGCATGTGACCTTGGGCCACTGAACTCAGTATTCTAAGTCCCAATTTTCTCAACTATAAAGTCACTGTGAAGATATGGTAATCCATGGACTCAGCATAATATACAGCACATAAATGATCAATAAATGTTATTATGACCACTCTGAGGCAAAAAGCTGAGAAATAGGTGGCATGGCACAGTACTAGGTCAAAGGCAACATGAAGGAAGAGAGGTCAGCATCCATTAGGCCCAAATATGTATGTGCAGGTGTTTCTAAGAACATTCTCATTTAATATTGTGGAATTTCTATCTCCAAGCATCACCCCTGACATCATCTCTTTTCTCTTCCAGGCAGCAGAGAAGCCTTCTGAGAAGGAAAACACGGGTCTTGTGATAGAACTTGGTGGGACTGACAGAATTGCGGCTTGGCAACTTCATGAGGTCAGGTTCCCTTGACTCCTTTGAACATTATTGAGAAATGCTTTTGTGAGAAAGAAAAAAATGGCACGAAATTACAAGCCCTGCACCGAGCTCATGAATTCTTAGTGATTAACAAAAAATACTAAAGTTCCACAACTTCTAAACCAAGGACCAAACCCTTAAGGGTAACTTCTTTAAGAAACAGCACTCCTATATCTTGGCGTACCACTGGTATAAAGCTTTTTAAACTTAATGTTAATAAAATTTTTGAAACTTAAAAAAAAAACCCAAAAATGTCCCAATGATTTACTTATTTCCACACAGTAAGTATGAAGCAGCGGAGCCAGGATTCAAACTCAAAGCCCATCATGCAACTGGGCAGGAGATCAAAAAAAGGGCCCTGTTAAGTTAAATGAGCTAACCATGGCCCTGGTAGGCCTCTATTTCTCTTGTAGAGTGGCTACAAGTTCGATGTTTCTGGGGAGACCAAGTGTAGTGTTCTTTCTAAAATTTGGCCATAGAAAATGATGGCAATGGTCACGTCTGTAAGGTGAAACATGGCCATAATGAACACTTTAGTTACCTCACTGATTTAACCTCAGGGACAAAGTTTCAATTGTGACTGAAAATAGTTCTAGTTTTCATTTTTTAATGAAAAACAAATGGGAATTCGAACTATTTTTCTTCTAACTTTGATAACAGAGAATAGCTCATAAGTATAAGCTATTCTATTTCCAAGCTCATTTATCAACATTTAACCCTAAAACTCTCATAAGGCATTCAATGGAGATGTATGCTTAAAAGCCGATTTTCTTACTGAGCTTGGCAAAAAATTTCTTTTATCCTTTATACTTTTGTCTTTTATTAATGGAGAAACAAGAATTGGATGAGGACACAGAAAGTAATTCATTTTTAATGCTAGTACCCTGCTTATTTGCACAAGTTTATCTGGCAAAAAATAAAAACGAAAAATAAAACAAACCAAGTTCTTAATTCACTTATCATCTAGTGCTTTTCCTTTGCACACCCAAATAGTTATATATTTAAATAATTAAAAATTAAATGGTACATAGTCAACTGTTTAGTTAATATTCATAGATATTCAGATGTTCTTCATGGATATACATAAGTATATTATGGGCATATACACATGTATATTATGGGCATATACACCTATATTATTTATATTTCATATAGGAGCAATTAAAAAGGAATGAAGCTCTCTGTTAATTGATAACCACACCAATTATCTCACTTTATGTAACTTCTATCTCCAGGAAAGCTACCGATTTCAGTCAAGAACCAGCACAGAAGTAATGACGATTTCTAATTTAACTGTACTTTTAAAAAGTATCACAATGTATACATTTACCAAATCATCACATTATGCAGTTCAAATATCTTATAAATCTTACAATTTTATGTCAATTATACCTCAATAAAGCTGAATAAAGAATATGAGGTAATTACAACGAATCTGTCAGTTTAAGATTTATTAAAGTAAACACTTAGAGGACAAGAGGCAAGTGTTTGAATCATGCCTAATAAAGTCTTATTTTCTTGTGACTTTATTTCCCTTTTTCCTATTAACATAATTTTCAGGTTGTGACAGGATTTCTAGATCATAGGTTTCAACTGCATTTTTAACAGACAGCTGGCACAAAGAAAATGGATTATTCTCCTTCTTGCAACTGAGAAATGAAAACATGAATTATTAATAGCTCTCAGTAGTTTCAGTAAAATATGGAATTAGCAATCTGGTCAAGGTATGGGAAACCTTTTCCCACCATTGTCCCGCTCCTGAACACAGACGCGAACAGATCGAAAACAACAAAAGTCCAAAATTTATATAGAATCAATAAAGCTTTAATTTATAGAATGCTTAGAAAATGATATGCCATGATTAATCTAATATCCTATTGTCCATTTTGAAGAGAAATGTTAAAAACATCTGACAAGTTTTCTGAATCATGATATAATTTTCCTAAAGACATTTACAGATATTACTAAAGACACTTAGGAATGACCATAATAACGTATGGAAGAGATGACAAAAAAGAATGAATTTTTTGGTTTCAAGACATAGCTTTGAACTTCTTTTGTTGAATAACCTTGATGTCAAACTGCTGTATTGTCATTTGCTTTTCTCTTTTAAAAGCAGTGAATCAGATATTTTTGTAACTGCTTTGGGCTCTGTTTTATAAGGGTTTTAATATACATGTCATTCTGTGTGAGAAAGGCTGACAATTTTAGCAGTCTAGCAAGAAGTCTCCACGACGAATAAGATTTACTGAATTCTTTCAAAATACTTTGCCCTCCTCGAAATGCCTAAAAGCCTCAAATGTCATATGTAAAATTTTTTTACAAATTTATGATTTCCTGACCTCTGAATAAGTCACTAAAAATAACATGACTGTAATGTTTCTTTAAAATATTTCTAAGAATACTGAGCATTTGTCTTTTCTGTTAAAAATAGAACTTAGAAATTTATAATTTTAAACATATAAAAATTACCAGATAACTCAGGAGAACAAGGTAGGCTTTAACTTTGCAAGAAAGAGAACACCATAATCTATCCTCACTTTGATTCTATGACTATTTGTGCAGGATCAGCCATGTTCTCGGGTATGCCACCCAGTGCCCTGGGAAGAGAAGACCAAAACAGCAGAGTGCTGCCTTCTGAGACTCTGATGGTCTAACATGGGAAATAAGCACAGTGATGTGGTGAATGATAGGACACACCATACCTTGTTTAAGGGCACCTTCTCCTGCGCGGATGAAAGAGATTTCATTGGAATCAACCATGTGATGTGCTCCATCTTGCAGGACAAACCGCAGCCCAGAGAGCTTGTGACCAGACAGCGGGCCCTTCTCACAAGCATCCAAAAATCCCTGTTAATGAATGAACATGACTTCTAGGGTGAATTTCACTTGCAGATGCGTTACAAAGAACCCCCCCCCCAAACATTTTAGTATTCATAAGTTTAACATTTGTATGTATTCAACATTTCACTGCTCAAAAACGAAGTTTTAAAAAGTTTAACAGCCTTACTATTTAAGTTTTATTAGTGGCATCTAGAGTAATCCCTTGCAAAAGCATATTACTTAAAGTTGTGAGCTGGTTTGAATGTGAATGCTAATGATCACTTTCTCAAAACCTCATCTTCAGGAATTAACTCTCATAACCCATTAAAGAGACAGCATCATCTTAATTTTACAAGGAGGAAATAGAGGAAAGGCAAATCTAAGGCATTCCCTAAAAGAAACCCACCACCAAAAATTGGCATTTATTCAAAGCTCTGTTTTGAGCTCCTAATATATTTCGATCACTGCTTTGCCTCATTGGCAGATCACATTATAGCTTTTGTGTTACACGATGTTAGTAACAACTAAAATTAAAAAGTAATTTTTCCAAATGCAATTTTTTAAAATACCTTTATTAACTAATATACAATAAACTACACATATTTAAAGAGTATGATTTGATAAGTTTGCAGTTCTTTTTTCATTCAGTCACCTAAAACTTTCAGAAATCCCTAATGACCACTACAAATTTCAATTTCTGATTACAATCAATGAAGTAGTTTCAACTTATCAAGAGAAATATGTAACTTTTAAAAAATAACTTATAAAGAGAAATAACCATGATTAAGAAACAAAATGATTTCCTTTCACTGTCCTACTGTATATTTATAGCTCTTGAACTTAATGAATTAAAGATTCTAAAACAGATGGAAAAAATACTTAAAGAAGCAGGACTGTAACTAAATTGAAGCCTGGAAGACAATGTGATAGAAATATGATTTGATACCTAATAAACTGTCTTTGATTTTTTTAAATGCAAGAAAGTTCTATTGTTGTTGTTTTGTTTTACCTTTTCTACAGCAGGCACAAATTGCTTTGGAACATTTGCCCCAAATGTTTCATCTGAAAACTCCAACTTAGTGTAGTTCTCTGGGTCCAGAGGCTCCAGCACACCTATCACTTTTCCAAACTGGCCTGCACCACCTGATTGTTTTTTATGTGTAAACTCAAACCTGAAAATGATTTAGGAGGAAAAAACAACAACACAGGATTACGTAATTACCGAAATAAAATAAATCCTAATTTAAATGAAAATCCACATTTCATCACTTTTACTTTTCCCTTCAAATATGATGGCCTTGCTATAAAATTTTATTTTAGAATCTATTTAAAAAGGAAACCTCTCCTTTCTATTCTTATGTAGAGGTGAAGGCGGGGTGCACCAAAATAATCCACAGCCTTAATCCTGCCAATTCTAAATTTCACAAGTAGAAAAGTAAAAGGCAAGTAATTAAACAAAAAGTTAACCTAAGATTCTTGTTCTAGTAACCTACATTCCAAGAGCTCATGCATGTCTTTCGGAATGCTTCCCTTTCCTAGTACGTAATGTTCTCTCCTTAAATCTCTATGAGAGGACCATTACTTGAAAAATGGGACCTCTGAAGTTCATTTATTCAGATAGTTCCTACTTGATTTTACTACTTGGACATTATGGACTGTTGAAATACGAGAGAAGGGAGTTTCAGGTGGAATGATTAACATCTGAAAAATGATTAATGGCAAAATGATAATGACTAAACATAAGGAAGTCATTTAGATAGACACATACACAGACACAGGTCAGTGTTTATTTCAAACCACAGATGGCAACATAAATAGAACTGAATAAACATTTTATGTACATATTAAACATATGTAAACGTAGGCTACTATTTTATTAAAAAAAAACATTTCATGACTATCTACTGTTTGCACGGCACTGCTTCTTTCAAATTGAAACCTTCCAAAATCAAAAGATGGAAGACACAAGCTTCTTTCAAAACTGTCTGCAGTTAACTGCAGGTAAATGAACATTAATGAGTATGTATTTCTACATACAGATCTGTGAGTGGTTTGGAAGAAGTAAATATCCATTTTGGTAGGAGACACTAGTTTGGAATAAGCAGATTTCATAAAGACCCTAAGTGTGAATGTGCCTGATGAACTGACTTTAAATAATCTTCCAGGGGTCAAGAGCTTCAGGATGGACTGGGAAAAACAAAATGCTGAAAGGTTAATTTTCCTGGAAGGAGAAAAAAAGCAGTCATCAAACTCAGTGAAGTGAAGTAGAAGAGAAACAACTACCAAATCACCACAGAATTACTGAAAGGATTACAAAACTGTGGTCCACTGACATATTCTTGGGTATACATGAGTTCTTTGAGACATTTTTAGTTTTGTTTTCAATCTGACAATAATATAATATCTATACAACATACTCTAGATCTATGCTGTCTATATGGTAATCACTAACCATTGATATTCACATTTAAATTAATTAAATAAAATTAAAATTCAGTTCCTTAGATGTACTAGTCACACTTCGAGTGGTCAGCAGCCAAATGTAGAGAATGACTACTATACAAGCCAGCACAGACAGAACATTTCTATCACTGTTCAAAGTTCTACTGGACAACTCTCTTTTGGAAGACCAACTCACAAACAAGTAATCCATGCAGTTTCAGGAACCATGTCTGAATTTATAATCAAGTGGATGGATGCCAAATAAAAAAACACTTATATGCCGCGTTTGTATGAAGCACTTTTTATAGATTGATTGTCTTACTTATTCTTCACCACAAATAGATGAAGTAGGTACTATTCTTATTACCATTTTATAGATGAGAAACCTGAGGGTTAGAGAAGCTAAGTAACTTGCCAAACATTATACAGCTATTATGTGGCAGAGCCAGGATGTGCACCAAAACCAATATTCTTAAACGTTTTTCTAGAAGACTAATAAGAAAATATAAACTAATTTAATCTGCAAACGATGCATTCACTTCAAAAGCCATTAGAGGGTGCTGCTCAAAGAGTCCCCCTTCCCCCCAAAAGTTTAAATTGAGAAGAGGTGAAAGAATATAGGGATGCTGAAGGTGAAAGAATCCATGCCCCTGTGGTCAGACCACTGACATGTTGCGAAAAGCAATTTAATTTTGGCAAAACATCATTTCTCATGTTAAAGTTAATTTTAACTAGAATTGTGCTGGTTTTACTGTTTATCTCTATTTTGCAGATTTACTTTGACTTTATAGTCATACCAAAGTTGCAAGTCATAGGTATTTTTACTTAGTTTTATGTTCATACAGTTATATAAAATTGTAATAATTTAATTTACCTGACCCCAGAGACTAATAATGATTTTGTTGCGTTCAAGGTAATCCATACACTGAGGATAATGATCTATTGACTAAACTATTCATGAAGCTTTAGTAACTAAGACTTCAAGAACTCAAATATAGAAATGAGATTCTCCTAATGCAGTTTATTTAACATCTAAATAGGCAGTTACATTTTTTAATGTAATAATTATGTTTTAAAAAGAATCTAAATTGGTATGTGTACTTTTAGTAAGTGCCTGTTATGTCCCAACCTATGCTACTATCCTTGATCTACAGAGATCGCAATTATATTCACAGTTTCCAAATGGTGACTTTATCTAGGAGGCCCACAAATTGTACTTCTCACAGCTCTGGTAATAATACAGATGTTAACTAAATACTTGTGAAACTTCTAGAAAGGATAGGAAATGCCGTACTGCTTACTATTTTTTAAAAATCTACTTACTCTAAATTGAAAAGTATATTTGAGGAAGACATTACAAACACATTTTTGTTAACTTTTTTAAAAGCACCACTATATTGTGTCTATCAAAAAAACTTTCAAAAATCCATTTTGAGAAAAAGAGCAAAGAACCTTTATCTCCAAGCCAACAACCTAATGTAAAGGTTTGACCAATACACTTGATGAAAAGAAATCTTAGCTTCCTAAAGTTTTCTAGGGAAAATCCAAATAATAGCCTGTATAGTTCCTTTAAAGGTGACCAAAGAAGGTGATAAATCTAGAGTGAAAATACACTGCCTACTTACTAAAAGTTTGTGCTTGCTTAAATAAAAGAAGCAGCTTTAAAAACTCCTGCTTTTGTTAGAAGCTACTTCAATGTAAGTGTTTCGTATAAGTTCTTTTTGTTTTAATCCTTAAAGTTAAATTTTAAAGTGACTGAAAGTTAGAAGCATAATGTTCTAGCAAAATCATCCTTCTAAAATTAGTGAAGGGAGGGGTGCCGGTGCATTTTAAAAATTCTCCTGACCCAAATTACATAATCCTCCAATTTAATGCTATAGCTTGCAGTATCTCAAACCTTTATTTGGGCAGAATTGGTCCAACTTTCACAGAAAGTTGGTGATGAACTAGCCTGTTCCTAGACTTTCACAATGGGAAGGGGAAAGAAATCGTCTGAACGGATTCACTGAGCTCCTTTGTACTTTGCCCTGTGCCTGATACTGTGGGGTGTATAAGAAAGTTATGCTCCAGTCTGCAGGTGAAGCTACCAGACTCTCTTTGCAGAAGAAACTGGGCCCCAAGGAAGACACTCCAAAAAGGCAATCGCCAACCCCGCACATCTGCAAAGGCTAATAAATGTTAGGATGAAGTCTCTGCCAATTTCCCTCCCCACACCTCCACCCCTCCCCGCCTGACCAGAGGAGGAGCTCTCGCCTAGCAGGAACCTAAGAGCAAAAGTAATAGCAGCAAGGGCGGGGCCGCGGGAGAGGCCCATCAAGGAGTCAGCGCCCAGACACTGCTTCCTGAAACGGAAAGAGGGAAGGAAGGAAGGAGGAAGAGGGAGGAGGGAAGGAGCTGATCCCGCCCACGCCTAGCCCCAGCCCCAGCCCCAGCCCGGCTTGCTGACTTTTCAGCAACGGGAACAGGCTGAAAGGCGGCGCACTGCTACGTGTCCCATAAAGCTTGAGCAGACCCGTGTTCACCCAGCCGCAGCCCATCGAGAATGGAAATCCCGCCAACCCACTACCCAGCTTCCAGGGCGGCCTCCGTGGCGGAGAACTGCATCAACTACCAGCAAGGGACCCCCCACAAGGTGTTTCTGGTGCAGACAGTCAAACAAGCCAGCAAGGAGGTGAGTCCGGCTGAGGGCGGCGGGCGGCGCGGGCACTGGCTCCCTCCACTCCTGAGGGTCAGCCTGGCTCCGATCCAACAACGCCTCCCCTCTCCCCCGCCCCTGCCCAGTAGGAGTCAGGTCTAGAGAGGTTAACATTTCTGGGGAGAGTGAACACTCCAGTCTCTGGGGACAGCCAGGGGCTGTTTGTTGTTTTCACGGGAAAGCAGACATGGGCACTATTACAAGTGGGGAAATTTTCCCAGTGAGGGGTGGCATTTTCCCTTTTCCCTAAGTGAAACCTGTAGGAACCAGTCAAAAGAATCTTAAAACTGCCATGTTTTTCATCTGCTGCTCCACAATCTGCATCCACAAAAGCTCCTTTCTTGCAAACGATTTTTCACTTTAAGACCAATCCTTATTAGGCTCTTTGACCAAAACGAAGGGGGAAACAAATAGCAAGAGAAGCTTGGCTTTAACCACCCAAACACTACTGCAACTGGCTGTCATAGATGATGTGCTCCCGCTACCTCTGGCTAAAGGGTTAAATTAAATGCTTAAGACCTCAAGCTTTATGGGACACGTAACACCAAGCTTGTTTCCATTTTACTAAAATCTAATGGATTGGAGATCGTTCTTTATTTATCTGATATAAGTTTAACTGGTATAAGTCTCTTTTAAGTGCTGAAAGGGAGTAGATATTATTTCAAAACTATACCAGATAACATTAGGTATAAACTCTCAATTGTGTCTTGATTCAAAATGAAATACCTAAACATATGTATTACTGTTATAAAATTTGTTACAGTATCATTTTGTAGGTCCACTAATATACAAGTAAAAACAGTACTTAACGTGTTTAATCACTTTCCTGTAACCTGCCTCAAAATGGAATTCACCTTCACTGAATACTATTTGGAGGTACACAGGGCTTTATGTAAAATCTTTTCAATGGTGTATCCTATTTGTCATCTTTAAAATTAAAAGCTGTTTCAAATTTTCTTATGTAGAGAATTTAGGATCATAGATCCAGAGGTTGAAGTCTTCTGATGCTTGAAAGTGAATTGGAACCCATTTTATTTATATGCTTTTATCCTACCCTTTTGTTCTCATCCAAAATAAACCTGATAGAAGACCTGCTAAATTAGATGTTACACACATGAACCTATGGCTTTTTAAGGTCTAAGGCTTTAATTGTTTACCCCCTCCAAACAAATGAGAATGGATTCTTCTAACAATATAGAGAACTGAATTACTGTTATAACTAAACACATTTTCTTAATTTTAGGATATTCCAGGAAGAGGACATAAGTATTGCCTTAAGTTTTCTGTGGAAGAAATTATCCATAAAGTAAGTGAAATGTCTTTTATTATTAAATAAAATTTGATTCTAAATATTCCAGATCACCTTTGCTGGTCAAATCATATCATTATTCTTGAAGTTGTTGTGAAACCCAGCCTTGAAAAAGTAATGACCAAAACAAAGGTCAGTTTTTACTTTTTGTGTATTCTGAGATACAGAGGTATTTCTATTGGGCTATTTAAAAAACAGACTCTATATACCTCAAATAAATTCCCTTTAAACATGTTACGTACTCAGGACGGCCTGAACTTACGCCTAATGTTGACAAGTGAAATAAATTACTCTAATCATCACCACTTTATATGTTTTCCTTTCTCATTCTGTTTTTGATTTCTTTTAAAGAAAGCAAGTGTTTTAGTTATTTATGAGCAAAAAAACATAATCTAACCGATATGTTCAGATAAGAATCTTTGAGTAATACAGCAGGGAAATTTTTATATACCTGTCAAATTACTGAGACAAAGTTAAAAGGAAGGAGTTGCAATTTGAACCATAACCATCTTGATGTTAAAAAAAGCTTGCCCTTTTGTTGAGCATAATTCAAGAGAGATACAGGCTAACATAAGGACATTCATAAAAGGCATCTGAGCTGCTAGATAACCATCTTTGCAAAACAGAACCAATGCTACAATCTTTTCTTTTTACATCTAGATACAGATTGCTACATCTGAGTTTGAGAAAATTTCTGTTATTTCAGGAGCAGAGAGTGAGAGTAATGGACTTAAAGTAACCAGAGTCTGGAGCTGGTATATAAAATCAGACTAAAATCTGGCTTTGCAAATGTACACCCCATTAATACTGAATTTATAAGATTATGAGAACTTATAGATTATAAAGTTATATATTTCAGATACCTCTAAGAAAATTACTAGGCCACCCCTGATTAGATTATCTCTGGAGTAGGCACTCTGAAGTCACATCTGAAACACCATTAGAGGGCCAATGCTTTAAATGTCTCAAAGAACAATAATTAGCAATAGATGATGATCTACATGACTTTTGCAAAATATCTTTTGCAAAATATTTCAAACAGCAAGTGACAGTGAACTGTACAGCTGAAGTACTTTACCCTCCAATGGGACAAGATACTGCACCAGAAGTCAACTTCACATTTGAAGGAGAAATTGGAAAGAACCCAGATGAAGAAGATAACACATTCTATCAAAGACTCAAGTCCAGGAAGGAACCACTAGAAGCACAAAATATTCCAGGTATATAAATAAGGCATGGGGAAATATTTTTTCCAACTTTAAGATCACTATCAATTATCTATGTTCAAAACTGTCAGATGTTAACATTAGTTGAAAATATACTGTCATTGCAAATCCATTACCAGCCTACCAAAAAAAAAAAAAAAAGCCCTTGGAACTTTGTAGATCCATGGCTTAATTATTTTCTGCGCACATTTGAAGGAAACTAAGACATCAGAATTTAGATTTTTTAAAAAGGTTAATGTTGTATATCTAAAGTAATTCCATTTATCATGTTTCTCTCACCAGACAGTTTTGGAAATGTATCTTCAGAAATGAAGCCAGTTCGACATTTAGCCTGGGTTGCCTGTGGTTATATAATATGGCAGAATTCTACTGAAAACACATGGTATAAAATGGTAAAAATTCAAACTGTCAAGCAAGTGGTAAGTAATTTCCATAAAATACACTATCAACATGGTTAATGTTTACTGAAAGTGTTATAATTCATTCCTAGATAAATAGTGCCCCTTTAGTAATTTTACACTTAAAATAGTGTACCCCGTATTTTGAAGGAGAGGTCAGTTACAATCAAGTCCAGAGAAAGTGAAGCTACAATTTCAAGCGAGCAAAGTCTTGAATTATAATTTAGTATTCAGTTTTTGTGCTCACCGTAATACAGATTATTTCCTTTGACAACCTAAATGTTCTGTTCAAATTACTATAGTCATGCAGTGTTGAAACTACTTCTACTTTTTTCCTCTGCTGGAATGGTAGCGCCAGAGCTACTTAGACATGGTTACCATTTTTTTCCCCAGAGCTCAGCCGAAACAAAACAATAGCATCTCAGTCTTTGTGAAACTTGCTATATATAATTTCTTTTATAACCCATTTAATCATAATTTACAACCTCATATCTTATTGCGAGCCTTGTTTTCTTAACTCTGATATGACTATTCTGAACTGCCTCTTTCTAGACCTTAAAGAGATAAAAATAAATTATTTGATTTTAGTTTTATTAAGGGGTTAAGAAGAAGAAAATGTCAACTAGTAGTGTCTAATGGAAAACAACAACAACAAAAAAGAGTGTGTAAAGAAACCACAACAGTTTTAGCAGTTCCATAAAAGACAGACTTTCCAGTTGACTCGTTACAGCTTGTTGCTAAATGTTGGAGCACCTTTACTCCACAGGCTTTCACAACCAGTTATTAGATAGCTATAGGCACTGGAGGGTAAGATATGCAATTACAGTACTCAGAGTGTGATGTTAAATACCTAACATAAATATCACAACATTTTAAGAAACAGCCCTTTTCTAATGCATTTTTGTAGATATCAACCCTGGTTACAACATTCTTATAGGGGTACTGAGGCTTCAAATAAGTAACTGGTCCAGGTTACAAAGGCTGTATAATCATAATCATGATTTCCAAGCCATGTTTTTATAGCAAAATATGCACAAAGACAGAGCTAGTGGTTTTATGAAAGAAAACTCCTATAACCCTTCAACAAATTGTAGTTTTAAAGCATTAATGAAAATCTCAATAGAAGGATTAACAATTGCTTCAGGCTATATATATTATATATCTTTACCTATTAAGATCCAACATGTAAGAAACCTTATTACTGATTTTTACCTTATCTTTAAAGGACATTCTTTGTTGATATATTCAAAGGAAGGATTAATTCAAGATACTAGAAGGAGAAAACAGTATACTTTTATTTGACTCTGTGGCCACATTTATAATCACTATTAACCAAAGGAGCCACAGGAGCTTGTGCTTCTAGGAGCTTGGAGTCTAGGGCTTATTTCAATACATTGATTATAAGCCTTAAAAGAGCCCTGTGTCTGATGGTTGTGGTTTTAAACTATGTGGATGCAAGATTTCTGTGTAGCTGATGGTATAAATACTTTATATGAGCTAAGCAATAAGCAGCACAGATCAAAGCTTTAATTACAAAGCTAGATAACTACATTTATTACATTTTACTATTTTCAGTTTTTTAAAAGAGAATTTCTATTATAAAATTGGGATTCCATTAATGTAAACATTCATTTCAGTGGTTTATCCTTTAAATGATGCTTTTCTGAGCAATGTAAACACTAAGCAATATTAAATGACCAACTATGGACTGTAATGCTCTTAAGCATCTACCGCAACTCACAAGCTAAAAACAAAGGAAAATGATTTTTAGAGTAACAAATGAAAAATCATAATTTAAAATTATAGTTTGAAAATAAAGTTTTTCTCTCAGGCTAAATAATGACATCTGATTTTTATTTTTACTTAAGTGGGAGTATTATGATCTAATGAAAGCTGATTTTTAAAATTAAAATATTGTTTTTGCAATGATACTGTTTTACACACCAGGTTTTTATTTATTATAGCAAAGAAATGATGACTTCATTGAGTTAGACTATACCATTCTACTTCATGACATTGCATCTCAGGTAAAGTATCATTTATACCTTTATTTGATGCCACTTTGAAAACAGACTTGTTTTATAGCCACAGTATGCCTTATTTATTTTGACTTTATATCAGAATTTATGTAAATTCAAATAGGCACCAGGTTGAAGTATAGTACACTTGTAGCAGTTTAACTTGTTTTGTGCTATTCTTTATGAGGGCTCTTTTGTTTCTAACAAAATATAAACCCAACTCTGTTTTCTCAAATGTTTTCTGAATTTTTATCATAGCATTAGTTTCCTTTACTTGCAGGAGATTATTCCTTGGCAAATGCAAGTTCTCTGGCATCCACAATATGGTACTAAAGTAAAACATAATAGCCGTCTGCCAAAAGAAGCACAACTGGAATAAATGAAGACCCTAACACTGGATGAAGTGTCAATATGCTTATTAATGATGTGTATGTCAGTCTTCACTGATATTTAGCTTAAGGGGCCAAATTCCAAAGTGTCTCTTTGTATAAGTGTCCTGATTACAGTACAGAACTATATAGCTTCCATAATAGTGTCATGATGTAAAAGTGTCTCAATAACAGTGACAGTGCTATGTATATCCCATAATAAAAAGCCTCAATTAACCTTTGTTGTATACTTACGGGACAGGGGCAGTAATCGTCTCTCTGAAAGCAACTTTTGGTTTTCCTGTGATACAAGGACAGCCATATTCTCTTTCCATCCTCTAAAAAGAGCAGGGGAAATAATATTTTGATATATTTACCAAAAAATCCTAAGAATCTTAACTATCAGAAACATTCATTTAAATATAATAGATAAGCAAATGACAAATCTTAAATCATTTAAGTATCTTACAAGGATAAGATACATGGTATAAACAATACAGACTGCTTTTATAGATTTTATGTAAATGAATTCTAATTTAGACTGATTTACGCTTACCTCCAATAAATATATCCACTAAAACTTCATCTTTATTCCATCTTATTACATATTCACTTGGAAAGTATATGAATCTTGTCAGAATTTTCTACTGTCTCAACTTCAAAGATATGATCACAACCAGAATTTTTAACCTTAAGTCATATACCTTGTTTTCATTCAGATATACGCAAGACCTTTCCCAGGAAAGTATGGGCCCCATTCTACCCATTCTTTCATCTATAGTATAATGATCTTCAAGTACTGACTTAAGAAGAAAATGAGCAAGAAATGACCTGAAGAGTGGGTACTGGTGGGCCAACTTCCTCAGCACGTTTCTCCCTGCAGGTTGTCTCCCTAAGGCTGGGGCCAGGATTTACCTAACCCAACGAACCAAGACCTGAAGACAGTGAATGGTCTTATAGCAAATCTCGAGCCTTGACTCTAGAGGTCAGCAATGTTTTACAAATAAAAAGATTGAGATCAAAAGTAATTAATTTGTAACACATAGTAGAGGAAGCAGTATACCACATCTGGTATTAGTTTATGCACATTAGACTGAGAATGATTGACTTCTGCTCTTAACAAAGAAATAAAGTGAATTTAATTAACTTCCTTGTTATTTATTACCTGAGCATAGATTTCCAGGTGTAATTCTCCCATTCCAGACACAATTGTCTCTTTGTTCTCAGTGTCAAAGTGGACTTTAAATGTGGGATCTTCTCTTGTAAACCTGCCAATACCTTTTGAAAATTTTTCCAGATCATTCTTTAAAAAAAAAAACGTCATTACATGTTTTACTAATCGTCATAAGCAGTGAGATTACTAAAAGAACACACTGAATGAAATACATAGGCAGTTAAGAAATAAAAGTGACCCACTGTCTAGTTCCTAGGCTATACCCTTTCAATATGGGAGCTTGGGAACAACACGGGAACACAGCCTGGACAGTAGGGGATTTTCTTTCCATTCCAAGATACAAAACAAAAGCCTAAGACTCAACTCTATGCCATTTCTTATATTGACAAAAACTGTCCATTTGTGAGAAATTGCCTATAAAGCAGAAAGCAGAATCTATGTTTCTATTTTATATTTTTAAAATCCGATACAGAATCAAAGGAATCAGCATATTCACCAAAACTCTACTGTAAACTCAAGAGGACAGTTAAGACCAACAGTAAGGCAAAGCCACATTGAGACTTTTCAAACAATCTATTTGGAGGTGGTTTCATGCATCTTTATTCTCCTTACTTGTAATTCTATATGTGGTATGCAAAATAATAGCCCTCTAAGAATATGCCCTAATTCCCCCAAAGCTGTAAATGTTACTTTACATGGTAAAGCAGACTTTGCAGATGAGATTAAGGTTACAGACATCTTAAATAATCCAGATGGGCCCAATGTAATCACACAGGCTTTTAAAAATGGAAGAGAAATGCAGAAGGGTAGGTTGGAGAGACGTGAAGAAGAGGCAGGAAATATTTGAAGCATGAGAAGGATTCATTTTGCTGTTGCTAGCACTGAAGACAGGAGGAAGGGGACTATAAGCCTAGAAAGGTGGATAACCTCTTGAAGCTAGGAACAGCCCTCAGGTAACAGCAAGGAATGGGGGCCCCAGTCCTACAACTACAAGCAGCTGAATTCTGCCAATAATCTGAGTAAGCAAGGAAATAAAGTGTCCCCTAGAGCCTCCAGAAAGGAACACAGTCCCACCAGTATCTTGCCCAATATTTTAGCCTATTAAGAACTATGTTAGATTTCTGACCTACCCAACTATAATACATTTGTGATGTTTTAAGCCACTAAGTTTGTGGTAAATCCTTATGGCAGCAATAGAAAACTAACATGCCCTAAATCACCAGTATTAACAGCTATTTACATGTGCCTGGAGCTGTGCTATGTGTTTTGTATGTTACCTCAAATTCTAACCATAATGCTACAAGATAGAATCATCCACATTTTAAAGGTGAGGAAACTAGGTACAGAGAAGTTAAGTGACTTGCTCAGGGCCACACAAATATTGCATGGCAAAGGTGAGACTGAATCCTGGGTTCGTCTCTCTCCAAAGTCTTTCCCTGCACTAGCCAGGTACTCTAAATGTACTAGATCATCCCCACACCCCGCCCCCCGCCACACACACACACACACACACTATTGAGACTCATAGCTTTAAGCTGTGACTTCATTATTTGATTTAATTTACTCCAGCAAGCAGATAACCCTGAGACACCAAAAAAACCTTTTGGATACTGATGCATTTGATTTCCCTCTATAACTGAACTATCAAGACAAAAATCTTACATAAACTCTGAATTTAGGAATGAAGAAGCATAATATCTTTACCTTCTGGCCCTGCATATTCTGAAGAGAAAAGCAAACAATTCAGCAAAGCCCATGGAACAAACTGTGGCATCTTTAATAAGATGTAAGGTTTGCCTTTCCTCACATTTCTGAGACAGAGTGATTTAATGTTTCTTGCCACCTCAACATTCTCAATTCTATAATGAGAAGGGTCTGGAAAATCTCAAGTTTCTCAAAATAGTTGAAGTAGTAGCTGTTAATGCAGCCACAGGATACATCAGAATGTTCTGTAAATAATAGTTCCCAGATGACAAGGGGTCATAAATGTTCACTCAATGCATGGATGAGTTTATTTCGATATGCCTCATTAATGTGATTGTTATGAATGTCAAGGCAATTTAAAAACTAAATAATTATGGTTCAAGAATAAGACTAATTCCAATGGCAAGTCAATGTGGATACAGAACATAATGAAACAATCTAAAAAGCTAAATGACATCAAATCCAATCATAAACCTGTTATATTTGAAAGTGAGAAAAGGTCTTGTTTACAGATTTTCCATGTTAAAATCAGACATTTACTTTATAGCTACCACAAACCTAGTGATGTATTATTATCCATGAGGCAATTAATCTACGTAATATTCTAATGTCCCTTACAGTGAGGTTTTCCTACAACTTACGACAAATGCCGTTTCCCCTTTTCTATCCCTTTATGCTCTCAATCTAAGAATTTACACTTACCACTGTGGAGCCAATGATATACTTTTACTTAGTAAAGGGTCATTAAAAACAGTCTCGTGAATACTTTCATGCCATCAATTTCTTCAAATATAGCGAGGAATAATTATTACTAATAGACTGGTAAATTTTAAAAGGTGATCTCAATACTAAAAGAGGAAATAGACTGCTGGTTAGCACAAGATACCATGTGCACTGTGGAAACAGATGGAAAAGAGCTCATGTCTTTATTTTGATATATTAAGCATTAAATCAAACGCCTACCTTGTTAGAAGGCTTCATTGCTATTGAAATGACAGGATCGGGAACATGAATTGATTCCTAAAATATTTTTTTAAAAACAGAGTATTCAAATACAGTACTGTATGGGTCAGGGTCAAGAATGTTTTAATTTTAATGTTCTACTTTACAAAAGAACAAAGGACAAATATTAAACATCTTTAAGCTAGACAATATATATCTTGGTCTGTTTGCATTAAACATATGAATATATTAATATACTATATAAAGGTGTCCATTTATATGGTATCTTCCCTCCAAAAATAACAATATTTATTTACTTAACTGTTTAAGATTCTTAAGTTTATTGACACTTTCAGTTTAACAATCATTTTAATGACTCTAAATGCTGAGACATGGAATTCTTATTGGCTGCTGGCTACATTTACTGTTGTTATCGTCTAATAAGTTATTTATTAGATCAAAAATTACTATAATCACTGATATAATTAAGATTATTTTAAGTGCAATGGCTTCTATCATATACTATTCATTATATGATCTAGGAACTATTATAGTCTGTTAGGGTTGGATCAATTTGTACGTAAATGACCCACTGTAAATTTGTTCACTGCAAATTACCTATTCCTATGTACTCATATTCTTTCTTTACTGAATTCAGGAGGGGGACCACTCATGAACAAATGGTCATACTGTAGGACAGCCTGCTCTCCTGTAGGGGCAAAAATGTGAAGTGAGTGAAGGGAATTCAGAGGCAGGAACTGCCTAAGCATGTGTGGAGGAAAGACTATTTTGCCATGAGACTGCTGTCTGGCTGGTGAGCGAGACCCTGGCCAGAATGGGGACTGCTTACCACAAAACCCCTTAGAGACTGTCTGATCATGACAGATGTTCATTCTGACATGAATCAGCACCATTCCCTTGCCTCTTGCTATGTGGCGGTTCCTGAAATAGGTTGTTGTCCTGACCTGGTAAAGCATGTAAAGTAATTTATGCATCTGGTACTAGTACCCATAACTATGGCCCTCTTTTGACCCCACATATTAATTCTCTGGCACCTGTTAGGCGGGCAGAGAATGTCCACTTCATCTTGCAGCTGCCCAAGAAGAGGCTATAATGTAAGTTTCCCTTAATAAACTGTTAGCTGCCACTGGAGTGGCCTGTCTCTTTCTTTAGTCTTTCTCTGCCCTCCGCTTAGAGAGGCAGATTTCAGTCTTGTGTGTACTAACAGCATGCTCTTCCCTTCAGGGTCCCTTTCAGTGATGGAAAGGGACCTGTGAGTTCCACAAAGCAGGCTGTATGCAGTAAGTCAGACACTCTAGTTGCATCTTGCCTTTGGAGCATGGTTCTATCTGTTATGTTATCCCCAAGTCCAATCTAAATGTTACAGTCTGGTCTTACAGTTCTTGAGGGAAGGGTCAACCCTATGGATGCTGAGTTACTAAAGAAGGAACACTCTGCTGGGACCGCCTCACAACGGCGACAATTAGAGAGGCGCCCACAATGGGGAGGCAGATCTCAGGACAGAGGAGTCTCCACTAGGTACACACAGTCCAGGTGTACCTAGTGGAGACTTTCCTGCCACACTAAACCTTGGAAGATTGTTAAATGCTTTTTCTAAGAAAAATCAGATAAGTTAGCTTACACAGAGCACTTGTCTAACTGACATTTAAAGAGCCACAACCAATCTAAACTTGATATCAGTAGTACTCAATGCAAGCGGTTGTTTTCCTGAAGTACTAAATGTACTATATAAAAACAGACTTTTGAAACTCAAGTGATAAACAGCTTTGAAATTAAATGACTTACCATAGAAAGGCCACTATTATCTTTATTTGTGAATGTGTCTCCACTAGCACAGTCAATGCCAAACAATGCACAGATGTCTCCAGCAAATACTTCATCAACATCCTAATAAAGAAATAACACAAATTGATACAAATAACACAAGTCAGAACAGGGTGACTAAAGAGTACTTATATAATAATCATACTGTACATAAACAAACATGGCAGAATCTCACCATGAATTCTATAAAAAGTGAATTGGCTAGAACCAATGCAACACCAACAATCAACCGTGGCATGACATACCTTAAACAAGAAGCTTATTTAAACCACATCTCAATTGACAAGATTTACTTTAAACGGAAACTCAGAGGTATGGCATCATTACTTGGAGGATCTGCAGTACTGACAGAACACAGAGCCTCACAGTCCTGAAGTCATTCCTATGGAATTAAAAAGCATGTACTATATGTGCTGCCACTGTCCAACAATGAGACAAGTATGACAAAGGCGTACAAGAAAAACCTATGAAGGAAGTTGTGAAAACAAAGGCAGGATAATGGAAGCCATTGTACTTAAAATAATCTTAATTTCTCACAGAGTCAAGCAGTTAAGAAAACACAGGAAATCTAAGAACAAAGCACTGGTGCCTCTAAACTTCCTAGTTTTTGTCTTTTTATATTGACAGTTCATTCATAACAACTGTGTCTGTGAATGAGCAACCGTGTGCATATTCACAGCTGTACAATTCTAGCTTCTGGCCAATAAAACAGCTGTGGCAATCACTCATCCCTCTAGCCTGCCCCCTGCTGACTATTTCACAAAACAGCAGTGCTGTTCAATTTTGAAAGACTGCCTATTCATCTTCTAGGAGATACAAAAGTTGGGGCCACCAAAAATTACTGAATGTCCAAAGACTTTGCTTAGACTAATAAATTTTTCCAGGGATATAAAGCTGAATTGGGAAATGTTGAGAGTAGGCGACAACCTCATACACTTGGTATTCCTGCCAAGGCCTAATCCTATGGACCACAGGTTAGGACAGAATCAGAGCCAATTCAAGAATTCAAGACAAAATTTATCTTCCAGACCAGATCTTCAGAGGTTTTAAATCTTCAGATGCTCCTAACACCATTATGGCCCTTCTGGGGTTGGTTCTATGAATATAAAGCTCTACAGTCAAACAGAACTTTCACACTGCCATATTTCAGAAAGTAAACCCTTTGAACAATGTGAGATATGTGTGAACTTATTACTCTCACTTACCTTTGAGAACCACAGTTACGCTGTCCTAAAAACCTATTGTAATGATAACTCTTGAGGAGAGTGCCAAATTTGTGTTCTGAGTCTTAGGGAACCAATTGCCCCTTCTTAAACTTTGCCACTGAGGACATACAGCTAACTCCAAACAGTAGTATAAAAGTGTTCTTAACATCTGCTAATTTTGCATATACTAGAGAGCTGCATCAGAACGGTAGCACAACTAAAAATAAAGAAGCTAGGAAAATACGTTCAAGTAGAAGTAATTTTCTTGTGGGGAACAGGATACCTAGAAGGTAGATCTATTCCACCTGCATTAGAGAAATTTCGGATCTAACAATGGCCAGGTACTTGCCTCCATCATGTCGGCATGCATGAGAACCAGGCGTTGCACCCGCACCTTCTTTTTTGTTCTCGTGTTGTAGATGTTGTCACCCTTCTTCAATTCTCCTTGATAATTGCGAACGTAAGTTAACTGTCCAAATCGACCTGCCTAGAAGTCAAGATTGGGTAAGGGTGGAACGAACAAAAAACAAACATAAGAATCAAAATTAGGAGGGAAACTTCAAAACTAGCTCCAAATATTCCCTATCAATTTTAGTAGCTTTGAATAAAGGTTAAGTTAAATGGCTATGTTATTCTTTTTTGTATCACAATCCAAGATACTACTTCTGCTTTTCTAAAATTAAAGTTATCAAAAAAAATTTTTTTAATTCTTTTTATAAGGAAGTATCCTTTTGACTTCTAATATTTGACAAGTTCAGTTTAATATGGTAAGACATAAAAATAAGGTATAATTATTGGAAAGACAACAAAAATATCATTAGAAATGGTAAGCCTGTGTTAATACACCTAAAAAAATTTGATAATCACCTGGAAAGCTATACAAATAAGTTTTGTAAAATGACTAAATATAAAATGAATAATTAAGAATCAATTCCTCCTGAACCATAATAACACTAACCAATGTATATTTAAAAGTTGCCAGTTCTTCCCATATTAACTCACAGATTTAACACAATAGGAATCAAAATCCCAAGAGAAATTATTAAACATTTGATCAGTGATTTGAAAATTTATTTAGAAGAATGAATAAATTTAAAAGTTTTGAAAAACTATAGTAATGAGAAGAAACTCACCCTGGCTGATATAAAAACTGGCTGATAGTAAATACTCCAAAACTTAAAATGTAGCACAAATTAGATTGAAGAGCCTTGAGTATAGTACGATAATCTAAAATGTTTAATTCATTTGACAACAGCTGATAAAGGACACATAAAAAATGGAAAAATTCAAAAACTGAACTGGACAATCATTATTCTATTTGGAGGTAGAGAAGGAAATAAATTTAGATGCTACCTCACAGTATACAGCAAAACAAATTCCAGTTAGATTAACAATGAAAAACCCAACTATAAAAATGAAGATAAAAACAAAAGTAAATATTTACTAAGTATATTCAAAGAAGAGAGTTTCTAAGGTTAAAAATGAGTAAAGACTATATTTGACTATATAAATTTTAAAGTGCTAATTGTTTTAAAAATCAACTTTATTAGAGAAAATATGTACTAACAAATATGTGAAACTTTGACCCTAATTTTAAAAAGGGAAAGACAAAATAGATAATTACAAAAGAAGAAATACAACTGCATAATAAATGCAGTATATGGAAAAATGTTCTCTATCATTAGGAATTAAGGCAAGATTAAATAAAAACCATTTTTCATTTATTAAGTCAGTAATGATTTTTAATAAACATTCAATGTTAATAAAGATTGATTAAAATAATCCAATATATTAATTCTGATAGTATGAAAGCAACTTAGCAATATAAACCATTAAATATTAAAATATGCTATACCTTTAACTCAATAATCACTATTCTGGGGATCCTAAGAAAATATTCTGAAACATATTTTTAAAAGCTTTATGCATAAAAATTAGCACTGCAATGTTACTTCTATTTTTTAATTTAAAATTACTTTTTTTCTCCTTTTAGAGAAACAAATGACATTTCCTTTGTATCAATAATTGTAAAAGTTTTTAAATAAAATCTTAAAAAAAGCCCACCAAATATAATTCCATGCCAGAAATAACCACTCATACACTTCCGACTTATCCATTTTTCCCCCACACTTAAAATACTATGAACAGAAGCAACAACACAACAAAAAGCATACCCAGCGCCCAAATCTTGGTTTCTAATACCATTCTCCACTAAAAGAAACCAGGGCTCCTAAAGAAATGGCTGATTCTAGCACTGGGGCAGAGAAAATACAAGATAAGTCTAGAGCATCCTGTTTTGCCAGAAAGTAAAGAAGTAGTCAAAAAAAGCAAAACACCGGGGAATGTCAAAGAGACATGGGGCCAAGTGAAAGAGTTCCAATGGCCAAACCTGGCCAATCTGGTGCAACAAAATAAGTAACAGACTACTAGATTATAACTCAAAGTACAAAATAAATATCTGTAAGTCCATACTGATATAAATAAATGATTGAATAAATAACTGACCCATACAGAAGAACCTCAAATAACTTAAGTAGACGACAGTGCTTCTTCAAGGAGGTGGAATATAATTCCCAACCCCTTAAGTTGGGAATAACTTCCTTCTAAAGAGCCAGTATGAAAAGAGTGGGAAAAAAAGTAAAAGCAGAGAAACCTATAACCAAATCTGTAATGAGTAATTGTGTAATAGAAATAAAATCCTAAAAGAAAACTCCTACATATAGCAATTAAATACATTAAAAAGCAACTTACCTCCAGTTTAAAAGCAAGGCCTACAAATGGGTGGGAATTGTCTCTTTTGGAATTCATTAAGATTTTGGTTTTCTCTTTTGAGTCACTTAAAATAAAAGAAATATAACTCCGTGAGATTTAAGATTTGACATTTCTTTCATATCAATTTGTTTAATCAAAGAGTATTATCTGAAAAAAGCACGTGTGCTAAATAAACACTTCAGACCTTATACATCAGTGAAATTTCACTGAAAGAGATCAGTCAGAATAACTTCTTTGGGCTTAGTGACTACACTGTGACAGGACCACAGTAAACTTGAAAAAAGCCTCACAGAAATGGTCTGATAAAGAAAAATAATCAATAAGACCTTAAAAAAAAGTTATTTTCTTTAAAAATCTGACTGAGTAGAGCTGGTCCCAAGTGAGAAAACTTTCGAATGATTTAAATCTTGATGGAGAATAAAACATATCACACTTCTAACTCACAAATAGAACATAATAGGGGAACCGGTATACTTTCTATAGGCCAAAATTGTTACCCAAAATGAAATGGTAATTGTCTTTTGTAAATTATGGAAAAAAAAAAATAACACAAACACAACTACAAGAACCATTCTTACATTCTTTCATGGTGCAAACTGTTAAAGTATTTCTGCATACACTAATGTTAGGTAGGTAGCTAGTCATGAGCTACAGGAGTGAAAGCCCAGCTCTGTAACCATAAAAACCTCCCTTAAGGACCTCCCTAAAACACCCATTTTATGGTTATTAATTATCCTTACATCTTATGCACAAAGGCCATAAAAGCTGCTAGCTTAAACCAGCTACAAACAAGTGTGCAGAAAGTACTACCCTAACCTGCCCATAACCTCAGCCTCATTATACTGTCATAACAATATACATTTGCCCGCAAGTTCATGAATCTAATTACAACAGACTGAATTCTAGGTAAGCACATGTGTAGCAGGTAAAAGGTTATGTAACAGCCAAATGTCAATCAAAACAACCTCACCTTCCAATCACGTAGGACTACCCTTGTAATCTTCCATCATGGCCCAAGTATAAACAGCCCTTCCCACTTCTGTGCTGTTACAGCTATTCCCTGTAACATGCCCCTCACTTGCCGCATACTCTTTTGTCTCTTCACCTCCCCACGGGGCTGCAGCCTTCCTTGGTGTGGCCTGTCTCCTTCTAAAAATGTACTTTCAATAAATCTGACTTGATCTGCAAATCTTTACTGCAGTGGTCCCCAACCTTTTTGGCACCAGGGACTGGTGCTTCTATGAGAATCTAACGCCTGATGATTTGAGGTGGAGCTGAGGTGGTGATGCTAGTGCCAGGGAGCAGCTGCAAATACAGATGAAGCTTTGCTCCCTTGCCCGATGCTCACTGCTGTGCAGCCCGGTTCCTAAGAGGCCACAGACCAGTACCCGTCCACAGCCCAGGGATTGGGAACCCTTGCTTGACTGAGTTGGTGGGGAAGAACGGTGGACCCCCCCTCCATGCAGCTGTGGCAACAGCACACTTCACATCACCCTGTGCAGTAACATGAAGAATCAGTTTCCAAGACTTACTCATCCCGATTGAGAATAGCATAATTCTGGACTTCAGATGGATTTGGAAGGTATTCCAAAATAGCATCTAAAAGAGTCTGAACTCCTTTGTTCTTCAAGGCACTTCCCAAAAATACAGGAGTAAATGCCCTATTTAGAGTAGCTCTTCGGATTGCAAGCTACAAAAGAAAAAAAATTAACGATCAATTATCTTAAAAATTACACTTTGTTTCAGATCAATTACAAACTAATGAATGAATTAATACTCTACAGTATTGGCTCTAGTAAAGACTAGAAACAGGTCCTCTATGAATTAAGGAAAAAATTTTTTTAAAAAAGGAAAAAATCAGTTTTTTTTTCAGAACTAGAAAGCTGGTTTCAACATTCTTGGAATGTCACTAATTTTCAATTGGTAAAAAATATATATATACACACATAGAAAACAGACACACATAGGACAGTGTAAATGGTATGCTAACTGTATAAAACAATATGTTAATTGTAATACACAGCAAAAAAAATCTCTTGAAAGATACACCAGCCACTACGAACTAGCTACCTTAACGGAGACGGGGCAGAGAACCAGGCAGCTAGGAGATGGGTGAGAGATTTTTTTTGCTGTGTACCTTTGTATACTTTTTAAAATGTTTAAACCATATGAAAGCATCATTTATTTAAAAACTTTTAATTAACTGATTTGTTTTCTTTAAAAAAAAAATATAGTTATTGCTGTAACATTTCTGATTTATCTTTTTTCTTCTGAGTAAGGATATATCCAAGAGGCTGGCTATTTATCTTTTTTTCTAGAACAAACTATGACTCCTTTCCCATTTAAAGATATTATATAACTCACCACTTAAAAAAAAGTAATATGCCACATCAAGTAAGTTTTGAAGAAATAAATTGTTTAATAAATTTACAATTTCATTAATAAAACCCATGCATAAAAGCATCATGTCCCCACCTCACAAACAAAAACAAAACCCTCTATTTCTTGTTAAATAGTACTCATTTTGAGAGCACCTGCCTTTAAATCAGAAATTGAAGGTATTTTTTCCTCCAGGAACATCTCACCAAGCTTCTCATCTGAATTAGCAATACATTCAATCAGCTCCTGCCGGTGGTCAGCTGCGGCTGCCCTGAATTCTGCTGGAATTTCCTCATATCGAACAATCTGACTAAGAAAACAAATTTTTTTTTTTTTTTTTTTTTGTACTTTAAGGATATTCAATTAAATATACAAAGCACCAGTGCAAAAGTTAAACTAGTGGCTAAAACATCTTTTTTGATGAGAAAGAGCTCTGATACTTTTGCATTAATATGGCAAATAAGACTAATGGTTATCTTTAAAATTCAGACAGATAGTAAGCAAAATAGGCAAAGCAAATTGCTCCGGGTTGTATTACTAGTAAAGGGAAGAGCCAAGATTCAAAGCCAGCCTGAGCACCTGAAAATTCTAGTAACCAAATTAATAAGAACATCAGTCTCTTACAAGTAGGTTTAGAGACCTGATTTTACTCCTTTCGGTGATTAACAAACCCAATCGCACAAATTTTAACACAGAATACTCTAATTTTGTAGTAAAAAAGGTTACTTAATATGACAGACTTTTCAAACTTGACCCCAGTTTTCCATTCTTCTATGGGTCAAATAGGTAAGAGTCACAAATAAAATATACAAAACCAAGTAGACAGACGTGATATTTAGAAATATTAGTATGAAAGTTTTCAAAGTATTTTTTAATGGAAACTAATGTTGAAAAATAACCTTTTCAGGAAACATATTCCTAAATAAAAAAGTAAAAACCAACTGCAAATAGTCCTAAAGAACGCTCTTCATAGCCTTTAGAGCTTCATCTCTTCCTTCCTGGCAAGCTCCCTGGTTCTTAGATTTTTGTCAGAATCAGCTATGGCAGCAGTCCCGAACCTTTCTAGCACCAGGGACCGCTGCTCATGTGAGAATCTGATGCCTGATGAACTGAGGTGAAGCTGAGGCGGTGATGCTAGTGCTGGGGAGCGGCTGGAAATAACAGATGAAGCTTCGCTCGCTTGCCTGCCATTCATCTCCTGCTCTGCAGCCCATTTTTTAACAGGCCACAGACTGGTACCAGACTGCGGCCTGGGCTTTGGGGACCCCTGATTTATGAAGTCGTTTCAAAATACATATACACAGTAGTGAAGGACCGGGAAAGAGGGCAGGTATATTAAGAAGTTCCATCTGTAGTTCTGATGTACAATAATGTTTAAAAATCTCACGTAGAAACTTGTGCCCTAGTAATTCAGGGGAAGCAGATTTACTTGTTTATTTACAGATATTTTTTGAGTCCTATTATGTACCAGGTAGCTCTAGGACTGGGAAAATAGCCCTAGATAAACCTGATAAAAATCCTGGGCCTTACATTCTAAGGAATGTTAGACAAACTTTGTTGTCATTATTTACTTGCCACACAAAGTGTGAGAAACACCTCATCCACTGGACAGTCTCCATTTTGTAACCTGCTTACAAGATGCTTGATAAATTGTACAATTAACTGATCACAACACCCTATAACCCGCCTGCCAGATGAGCAATCTCAGTTCCATAGCAGAGGAAGAAAGCCCATCAAGAAGTACTTTTGGAGAAATTGCCAGGCTACTGGGGCCACTCCTCAGAACAAAGGGTCATTTATGACTCTCCACACTGTCTAGATTGGTGTCACTCAAGAGTCTGGTCTACAGACCTCACATGATCAGCATCACTTAGAAGCTCTCTCAGAATGCAAATTCCAGGCCCCACCCTGGATCTGCTAAATCAGAATCTCTGAAGGTGGATACAAGAATGTGTTTTAACAAGCTCTCCAGGTGACTTTTCTGAATGCCATGGTTTGATAACTGGGCAATTACAGTGCTTTGTAAGCAAAGGTCACTCAAAAGTTGACTGATGAACCAAATACCATGTCAAACAGTTACCAATTTACTTTTTGTATTGCCCAAACCATATTTGTATAATTTTAACTGCTTTTTACATATTATTCTTTTTATCTTTGTAATCCCATGAAGTAGGTAAAGGAAATATTTATGATCCCTATTTTCTTCCCAGTTTAATGAATGAATGCATGAATGAACAAAATATTACATTACTAGCCGAAGTTGTGGGCCTCCTTCCACCACACCATACACGTCATAATGTGACATAAATATATCAGCCAAAATGTAACATATTCTCCCTTGGAATGAACACTAAGCAAAATGAGAAGCAACTAGGATTAAAGGCATTAAAACAAAATTATCTTAAAAGGTATTCTTCCAGCCACATTTCAAAAAGGTATTTGAGGATAAAGAACTCATCTTTACCCTTCTCTTTGATACTTTTTAAGATCTAAGATTTTAATGGTATATTTTTAATACTTACCCAAAGTCTCCATCAAAATAGATGGCCCGTTCCTCAATAAGATCTATAATACCTTTAAAATCACCCTCCAAACCAATGGGTATCTGCATAAATGCTGCATTATGATTTAGTTTAGACCTAAAAAAGAAAGATACATATATTTACCTCCTTTTTCCTCCCCAAATCCCTTTGAAATGACAAAATAAATATAAAAAGAAATCAATGGCAGATGTTGAGGAACTGGGAGGGGTGTCATCAGAAAATATAAAGCAGTTGGAACAGACTGACAGTCAAACTCATCATGTTCAGGAAGCCACAACCCTATTTAGGCAACAAAAAGAACTCTTGTTTTCCCATCTGATCCCCAGAATACCTTGGATCAGAAACAGAAGTGGGAAGAACAGGTCAATAGATGGTTAACCAGGAAATTAAAGGATGGTGGGATAGCTAAGCCAACATCTCATTCTTGAATCAGCTGACTAGTGAAATTGAGTGCAGCTATCTAAAGAGAAAGTTCTTAGGGGAAAACTGGGAGAAAGTGTTAAAGCCAGACATTCATCATCAGCCTGTACCTCTAGTCAGGAACAACTACTGAATGGAAGTTATACTCAGAGGCAGGGATTCTTATGCAAGAAAAAATATGCTCTAGCTACTGTTTAGTCTAGACTCTAGGTACCTATCTATATTTATGGATATATAACCAGGAATCACCAAATATCTGAAGGAAACAATAGCTTAAAAGAGAGGTAATGAGCTCAGAAAATACTACTAATCTCCAAGGATAGTTACTAGAAGAAAATAAAATGTAAAGATCTGAGAAGGAATTACCTATGTTAATAAAGATGTAATAAAATAGAAAGTTTATGGAAATTAACTATATAAGTGCTGAAATTAAAAAGAAAAATAGGCTAAATAACAGAAGAGATGCAGATATCAGACTAGTGAGCTGAAGGACTGACCTCAAGAATTCTCTCATAACCTAGTGCAAAATGAAGAGACAGAAAGTATGAGAAAGTATGGTAGAAAAGTTAAGACTCAGAGTCCAGATCAGAAGTTTCAAAATCTGATTAATGGGAGCTACAAAATGAGAAAGCAGGTAATTGGGAGTGGAGCAAACCAAAGTGGTCAAATCAATGCTAAAAGAGAATTTTCTTGGAATTCAGAAAAAGACTTAGTAGGAATAGTCCCTCTATTGCCAACCACAAGTAAATACAAGTAAATAAAGATAAAAAGTGAAAATGTTTCATTTTACCAAGAAAATATTACAAACATCCAATGAAGAAAAACTTTGCTCTCCTATTCTCAAATACATCACTTTCATCGAAGCGCACACAGCAATATGGTCACTTATAATTCCTCAACACCAAAATGGACACATCTCTCTTGGTCTTTCTGCTATGACAAACCTTGCTTCCTGTATCTATCAGCTCTGTCCTGTGGAACCTGAGTAGGAACTCTACAGCTCCATTTACACATCTACAAAAGGTGACAAGTGAAACCGACTCTTTTCAAAGGTTATGTGAAACCTACAGAATTGTGCAAAATGACATGCTATCAATACCACTGGGTTATATCTGGTACAGAAAGGAAGTGGTACTGTTGTCTTAGCACACGTTACCATATGAAAGCAAGGGAATCTAGCATTCTACTCCAGGGCATTCATTAAAATTCCTCAAGTAAAGGTTAAAACTGAAGATGATCTTCTAGATTTGTCTACAGAAACACAAAGTACTTTTAGAATCTACTTTATAACTTCTCAAATTATAGCAAAACAGTATAAAACGCCGGACTGTTTTCTGAATTCACCTTCATCCTCCCTATAATTTAAGTCATATTTCCCCCATTTTACAGTTGATGAGATCACAAACCAAACTACTGACTTTAGGGTTCTATTTACTAAGATTGGTCACTCACATATATAAATTTAAAAAAAAAGGATAAAGCTTAATGATATTGAATTAATCGTCCTTCTGGATGGAAGGTCTGTTGTTCAGATCGTCACACCCGCTCTGCTCTCTCTAAGGTCCAGTACCTCATCTGCTGCAGGGCCCTGGCTGGGTTGGAGCCCACTCGGTCCAGTTTGTTAATGAAAGTTAGAAACGGAACATTGTAGCGCTTCATCTGGCGATTAACGGTCATGGTCTGGCACTGCACCCCTCCAACTGCACAGAGCACAAGGACTGCGCCATCCAAAACTCTCAGGGCCCTTTCAACTTCTATTGTGAAGTCCACGTGCCCTAAATGAGACACAGAGGGTGAGACAGTCTTAAAGAACAGAGTCTGAATTTTTATAACATGCACAATTAAAAATTTTTGTATTTCTGCTCATTATATAAGTCTTCTTATATAAAAAGAATATGGATTCTGTAAACCACCAATACTATTCACTCACCATAAAGTCCAGGGACCAAACAAGATCACTTCAAAAAGATACAAGGGCACAGGCACCTTTTGAATCAGCTGCAATTTGTAAAAAGTAAGAACCTTCCTTCTCATAATTTACTGGAACTATTTTCCAGGGATACCACAAAAGGATGAGATGCTCTAGGTTCAAGTCAGATTCCTCTAATAGGAATTCAGTCACACTTTTGAGTACTATTTGATACTCAAAAATGAGCTGCAGCATAGTAAAGAACTAAATGCTGCTGCCAAAACGAGGTACAATAAAACCAAGAACTGAACTCACCAGGAGTGTCTATAATGTTGATATTGACATCTTTCCACATGGTATAGGTGGCTGCCGACTGAATAGTAATTCCTCTTTGTCTCTCTAGTTCCATGGAGTCCATGACAGCACCAACTCCATCTTTACCTTTCACCTAAACACAAGCACAGCAATTAGGATCTCTCTGTCCCTGCACTCCAAGAACAAAGAAATCTTTACTGAGATGGAACCAGAACACAGGTAGTTAACTGATGCAATTTTCAGATAAACCTAATTTGTCAAACCATATCATCTCATGAAACAGAAAACCGATTACAGATTTTTGCCCTCTATTAACTGCCTACCTCCTTTTTCATTGCCATCCTCAGCAATTGCTACCATAGAGCAATCACCCAAACTTAGAGCCATCCTTGCTCCTTCTGCACTGCTCCTGCCCACCAGCCTTGTGCCAGTCTGTGAGTAGATGCTCAGAGAACAGATTTTTTCCCTGCTCTGCTACATGTGGATTTTGAGGCCTGGATGGGAAGGATTCAACTTCTGAAGTACGTGATTTAAGATGATCTTCATCTGAGGAAATATTTTTAAATGAAGAGTTAAATTACTCGATGATACGTAATTTCTTCAGGGGAGTGCCAAGATTTTCTTATTAATCTTTTTCTGATATATGTATTTTTTAACTGTCAAGTTCATACTATATACAATCTTAAACCCTTTTTCTACTTAACATTATAAACACCTCTCCATAACATTAAAAATTATGTAAATACCATTTTAATGGCTGCTTAAGGATACATTGTATTGACTCAACATTCTCAAAAGACATCTACTCAGGATATGCACAGTGATGGTCTCCAGATATCAAGTCCTCAGAGCGACATTTCAAGCCTACATGAGTTATCTAGTTTGTGATATGTTTTTGACTAAAGATGCACTGTTACCATTCTTTAAATCTCTCAGGTTTTGTGAAGTTTATTAAATCGCAACTACAAAACAATTAAAACCAAGCTCTAACAAATCTGGAATCAACATGAACGACATACCTCATGCATCTTTGCAATTCTGCCAGTGTAGTAAAGCACTCGTTCTGTTAACGTAGTTTTCCCAGAATCAATGTGAGCTGAGATTCCAATATTTCGTATCTTTTCATTTGGGATCACCCCTGATGAACGCCATCGGCAGACCTTCCAATTAACCTGAAAAGATAAGAAAGCTGAATTCAATGCATTTTTTATGGGTTAACAACAAACAGGCAATTAGAATGGGTTTGGTAGGCATCTTTCCTCCAAGGAATCTTAAAGGACACAAAGTATATTAGAGAGCCTGGAAAATCAAGAGTAAATGTCTGAACCTGCAACTCCTGTAACTAAAAAAAAAAAAAAAAAAAGACTGCAAGGGAGATAGAAAAGATACACTCTAAAAAATAATTAATTAAAGGGGCAGATACTTTTACTGAATGTTACAGGTTTGAAAATATACCTCCAGGCTGATAAAATCTGAAGGACAGTTCCCAACAACTACTTTAATAAGAAATAAAGTTTTTTGTTTAAATTTTAGATTAATTTTTTCTCCCTTCCTTCTTATTGTAGTTCACAGCTAGCAAGGATGTTTGAGGATTTATATGCTTTATGTAGTGGTGCCAATAGCTCCAAGGAAGCCCACAAAAGGTTTCTAATGTCTCCTACACAAAAACAATGACATTTTTAAAAAACTTTATTTTAATCGGGGGAGAAGTGAATTCTGCATTTTATGGAATCAAGACACAATATACCTCTTCCTATAGGACTGTACATCCAAAATGCACTGAAGCCCCTCCTAGGAAAGGGAGGCAGAAAACCTTGAAAAGATGGGTAAAATAGTAAATGGGACCCGAATGACAGGAGTTTAGTTGATTAGATTCCAGGACACCAACGGGCAAAGCAAATGAGGTTGGCATGATAGGAAAGGCTCAAGTCCTACCCAATTCTACTCCATTCTGCGCCCCCCGCAAAAAGCAGAAACAAGACCACAGAAAAGTATCGAGTGGTTCGAACACCAATAACCCAGGGTCGGCTGAAAGAGGGGGCAGTCAGCCCAACGACACACTATAGTGAAAAAGAGCACTTGATGAGTCAGAAGCCCTGCGTTCGAGCCCTGAACACATTAATTTTTCAACTGTCTTGACTTTCACTCCAGTCATCTCTCCTCTTTAAGGTATACCAAAAATAAGAGGCTTTACCACAAACTGGAGGCCTGTCCAACCTCCCCGGGCACCGAGAAGCTGCTCATGAGTAACAGTTAGTTGTGAAGGTACTAAGGAGCTAGCCATTCAGCACTGAAGCACGACTTGTATTCGGCTGTCAGCAAGGAAGTGTCAGGGAGAGAATGGGTGTCACTACCACTTCCCTGCTCTGAAGGGCCGCAAAGTCCCGGGGACAGTCCTTGATTCGGTTTCGCCTATCCAGGCGCTGATACCTGCTTTCCCTGCCAGACTAGGGCGGCGGGGATACGCGGGAGCGGCCCGCGCCCCAGAGCCGCGGTAGCG